AACCGGTTTGGCTCAGTGGACAGAGTATCAGCCTGCGGACTGAAAGGTCCCGGCTTTGATTCTGGTCAAGGGCATGTACCTTGGTTGCGGGCACATCCCCAGTAGGGGATGTGCAAGAGGCAGCTGATTGATGACTCTTTCTCATCGATGTTTCTAATTATCTATCTCTCTCCCTTCCTCTCTGTAAAAAATCAATAAAATATATTAAAGAGAGAGAGGAGAGAGAGAGAGAGAGAGAGAGGATTTCTTTCTAGTGCTTATGGCCTCAGCATTGCTTCAGTATATTAGCATGCTGAGTTAGCCTCCACCCCCAGACTAGAGGGCAAAAAGGAAGAAAGGGGGTGAACGGGGTCAGAGAATGCAGGGGGGCGACTCAGTCACTCCAGGGTTCTACGGGGTATCTAGATTTCCTCAAATCAAATCGTTCATGGAAACAAAATGCCATTCTCCTTTAAGCATTACGTTCTTCAAATTGTTCTACTATGCTTATTATTATTATTTTTTTTAATCATCAGAGTATCGGAATACTTTGAACAATCCCTTGCTCCTCCCCGAAAGTGATCTAAATAACATTCTTATGTTTATAATAACCCTCGTGGCTCTGGGGTAGGAAGGGGTCTGGAAGTTTGAAGTGACGTCCCTCATCAGTTCCTCCGTCCCTGGGGATGAGGCGGGAGCCTGACAGCTGGTCACTTCTCCCCTCTGATAAGCACCTTTCTTATTCTAATGACACCTTTTCCTGAAGTAACTTTCCAGTCCCCCCCTCACCTCACCCTTACATCCCTGTGTGAAAGGAGCCCATTCAGACAGCTTGTGAACAATGACGCTCAGCGATGGTTTAATCGGAGAAGGGAAACCTGTAGAGGGTCTTATCCGGGGTGAGCGTCTCAGGCAATCCAAGATTATCTCCCCGTCACCTCGTGACCCGTCTCCTTCACCACCCTTTAATTTTGGTAGCAATTACGGTGTATATGGATAATGCCCATTAGCATATTCATGGTCATCTCATCATATTTATTGTCCGCTCAACTCATTAATCTTCATCTACTTTGTGTGCTTGACAGCTCAATCTATTTTGCAATCTCTGAGAAAGCGGCCATCGCTCCCCGAAGCCTTTGTTTTCCTGTAAATAAACTGTGTTGGGGACCAGAGGACAATGGTGCCTCTCGTGGTGATTGACATCAGCCAGGGCTACTAATCAGGAAGGGACTTCATTGCCAGCTGAGCCGAGTGCATCATGGGGCCATTGTTCTAAGGCTGCCAGGGCAAGAACACACACCGCCAGTCACCTTCGCAAGATGGGCTGATTGTTCTTCAAGATTAGACCGAGTTGCCTTATTATCCATCCCAGACAGCGAGCCATCTCACCCAAACAGACACGTTTTCAGAAACTGCCCGTACACAGGCCGGATCTGAATTGCTAATGTATAATCTGCCTGGCACAGATGTGCAATGAATATTTGGATGTTGTTTGGCCCGTCAGTCCAGGAGGCTGCATTGATGAGGTGATGAGTATTCAGTGATGGGTCCTGGACCTTGGCCAACAGCAGAGTTTTGAGCACTTGCACTGATGATAATCAGATTACCCTCCCCCCTCCCCACGTGCCTTTGCTGCAATTCGGGGCAAATTCTGCTACAGGAACTGTAGGGTGGAAGAGTCTCTTTCCTTTTTGATGCAATGATGCCTCAAGTTTTTCAGACTTGGCAAAGGTAGAAAAGGTGCCTTGATTGTGCCTTGCCTGCCAGCTCCTAGGGCTGTGTGTGAGTCATGTGGCGCTGACTCCTTGGGTTTGAATTTGCCATTTTCTAGCTTATCTTATTAAGCTCTTGGTGCCTCAGTTTTCTCGTGTGTTAAAATGGGTTGAAAAATTCTATCAACCCTACAGAGCTGCCGTGGGGATCCAACGAGGTGATATAAGCCCGGCCAATGTTAACTATCGCCATGTCATTGGTCATTTGCTCTCTTCCAATATTACTCTGGTCACATAGGCTGGATGTCCTGGGAATAACATTCAGGCCTCTCCATTACCTCTGGATGTCACGTGGCCTGCACTATGCTACAGGTCTGCTTCTGGTTGTACGGAACATTTCCTGTCCTTATGTGACCATGAAGCTTTTTCCCTGAAGCATCTTTCACAGCCTACTTTTCCAAGAACATACAATAGGACAAGCTGCCTTAGCAGGCGATACACAAGATTTACAAAGCTTTGAAAGAAAAAACATGGGATTCAAGAATTTTATATACAATTATGGCATATAAAGGCAACAGGGATTAATTATGCAAATGTATACGTTCTCTCTGAAAAAAAAATGTTACTGGAAAAATGTTTCTCTGTGTATTAGGCAACTCCCATCCCCAAGAATTAGTCAACATTAAAACATGGGTGAAATGTCATTATTCAAATGTGAATAAAAAGAAAGGTCTGGGAATATTAATATCAGGCAACATAGAATTATACAAGTCAAAGAGTATTAAGCTGGTAACTATTTCATTTCTTTATCCCCAGTCAAATGCACAAGGTAGATCCTAAATAGTTACAGCCGGATTTATTGTGGAAGGGGAAGCAGTGGGTGAAAGGTATGTGGGAAGGGATGGCTTGTCTGCCAGGGCCCCTAGGGTGTAGGTTTTTAAGGGACCTCTACTTTGAATCCTGGAGAGGATACCTACTTTATCTGCCTAAGTCAGCGTTTTTCAACCGCTGTTCCGCGGCACACGATGTTGCCTGGTGTGCCGTAGGTGCAGACAAGACAAGAATTTTATAATTTTTCACTATTTTGTTTACTTAATATTTCATAATAAAGTAATTATAAAATACTTTTTGTGTTTATTTGATTCCTATTCAAGAGAATTACTTTATATATAGTCAATATAGGCACAGAGTTAAATTTTTTAACATTTTCTAATGGTGGTGTGCCTCATGATTTTTTTCATGAAACAAGTGTGCCTTTGCCCAAAAAAGGTTGAAAAACACTGGCCTAAGTCACCTTCTTCTGGGAACTGCTTCCTCTTCCTTCCTCTGTGCACCTGGGCTCATTTCTCCCAGCGATAGGAACGCTAGGGCCACGTGATCCAGGGTCCAACACAGTTGATGGGAGTTGACCTGAGTCAGGGAACCACACTACCTTGCCCCTTGGCTTGCTTCATTCATTTAAGAGAAGACATCAGAATCTTCACTTTTGTCTTTTCAAACTCTGAAAAAGCAGAGTAAGATGGAGGTCTTGTTGCTATGGGTTGCCATGCTCTCCGGCAAGAGGAAGAAACTAATCTACAATGAAGTTTTATATAAAAACACGCGGCTCTGGTGGCTTTTGGATATCTGGTAGCATTGGAACCTCAAGCCCAGCCATTGCCCTGCACTTCCCTGGCACCTTTTCCTTGAATGGCATCATCTATTCCTGTAGCTTCCTAAGTTTTCTTTTTCTGCCTTTTTCTCTCTTATGGTTAAAAACTGTATTAGTCAGAAACCCAGCTCTAGCTTGCAACCAAGAGCCCGGACTAATAGTCACTTGTTAAAATTTTTAAATAATGGTGCATACACCCTGACATATGATACCATATTCCTCTATTAAATTTATTAAGTCAGGTTTCCTGGTTCCACATGCAAAGGGAGTTTGGCTGGAAGCAAGCTGTCAACATGGTAGTTTGGTTTGAAAATTACATAATCGGTTAGTGACTTTAAAAAAAGAAAAAATATATATATATTTTATTGATTTTGTACAGAGAGGAAGGGAGAGAGATACAGAGTTAGAAACATCAATGAGAGAGAGTCATCGATCAGCTGCCTCTTGCACACCCCCTACTGGGGATATGCCCACAACCAAGGTACATGCCCTTGACTGGAATTGAACCTGGGACCCTTCAGTCCCCGAGCCGACGCTCTATCCATTGAGCCAAACTGGTTTCGGCGGTTAGTGACTTTCTTAAATTGCTTTTTTTTTTTTTTTTTCCTGTACTGCTAGGCAATTTTGTCATATGTCACATGCCTACTTTCTTTTTTTTCTATTGTTTTTAAAATTTGCTTTTTAAAATGTTAAATATTTGCTTTTAGAATATAAAGTCAATTATTTTTTGTCTAGGCTGTTTGTAGTAGCAAAAAGTTGGAGTAATCTAAATATATAATAAAAGATTAATTAGGGCAAATTATACATCCCAAGTAAGGCAATAGTTGGAAACACAAATGTCCAAAGCCATGTTGTAAAAATGTACGTGACCAATAGTATTACTTTATACTTTTTTCATGTTCATTTTTTTTCTTCTAAGAAAACCAACTACTAGAAATAAAAAAATACAGGCAAACAAAAGAAAAATTTAATCTATAGCAATGATCACACTCATGTTTTAAGACTTAAAAGACTTTTTTTCAAGTTTATTTTTATTGATTTCAGAGAGGAAGGGAGAGGGAGTGATAGAAACATCAATAATGAGAGAGAATCATTGATTGGCTGCCTCCTGCCCATCCACTACTAGGGATCGAGCCTGTAACCCAGGCATGTGCCCTTGACAGGAATTGAACCTGGGACCCTTCACGCAGGTTGACACTCTATCCACAGAGCCAAACCGGCCAGAGCAAGACTTAAAAGACCTTTTATAAACTTTTATAATCAATGTTACCACTTGGGTATACATTCTTATAAACTTTTATAATTATATAGCCATATATACTTTGACATTTGTTCATTTAAAAAACTTTTTATTTCCTATAAAAATGGGACTACATCACATGTGATTTTTGAAAAGCCTGAACGTATGAGGTATAATTTACATATAATGTGCACTCATTTTAAGCATCATTTCGTGAGTTCTGACAAATTTTACAGCATAATAACCACCATCATGATAAAGATATGAAACATTTCCATCATCAAAAAAAAAAATTCCTTTGTGTTCTTTCCTAGTCAATCTCAAACAATGATCTGCTTTCTGTTGCTATAAATTAGGTATTTTTTCCTCTAAAGTTTCATATTAATGGGATCATACAATATGAACTCTTTTGTGTCTGGTTTCTGTCACTCAGTACTTTTGAGATTCATCCATGTCACTGTGCTTGTCAGTAGTTAATTCTTTTATTGCAGTGTTCCATTGTATGAATATACCACACTGTGTTTATGCCACCATTATTTCTTGAAAAGATTCTCTTTTCCCTATTCAATTACCTCAGTACCTTTGGCAATAATCAATTGACTACTTATGTGCAGATCTATTTTAGGACTCTTCCATTGGCTGGGTCTCTTTGTTTATCTTTACTTCAGTCCCACTGTCTTGAGAGGTCGGAAAACTCCTGATACTGAGTTAAGCATTGAGAGGGAAATACACCTTACTGAGGTTGTTTGTATCATTACTGTGACTTTCCCTCGCTGGGGTGGCAACAGACGGGGGCAATTCATCCAGGCCTGTGGAAGGCTGCCTTCATCTCTCACAAGTTTCATACCCTTTGTCTCCATCGTTCATATACTGATTCGGTGCCCCTCCTGCACTCTTCATTTGTCTTTTCTTCACAAACACCCTGTGGGGTGGGCTCCTTAGACCATATTATACCCATTTAACAGATTAGGACATCTACATGTTAGGATTATCACCATCAGGACACCTTCTCAAAAACTGGAATTCTAGGCAAGTAACACAGAAAACCAAAAGCCAACATGAGCTCATCAACATAGCAGTCTGTTCTGTCTGATGACTTCTTGGGGGAGTGGCAGGCCACAGAGGTCACACCTGTGCTACACTTGTGCCCCTATAAAACCTCGAAACACACACACGCACACGCGCGCGCACACACACACACACCTTTTCTAGACTCTATTTGTCTTAAATGACATCTGGCCTAGGACAGTGCTTCCTGCAAGATATTTTAGCATTTGCTAGTGGCCATATTTCTGGGTAACAAGGCCAGGTGACCCTTACTGTGGGCCCCACCCAATCCCCAGTCCTCTTGTTAAGGATAGAGAGCTAGAGCATGACTGTATTTTCTGGCTTGGATTCTTTCAAATACGCAAGTTAAGCTTGAATTTCTGCTTCATGCAAGAAAATGATGTTGGTAACTCTACTAGGACTTTGAAAGAACCAATGTCTGCTAAAGGGAGGGCAGGCAACATGGCCTCATGCAGTGATTTTCAAAGGACTGGGATAAAGCAGTGGGAGCGGGCACTAGATCTTTTAGGGCCAGAGGATTAATTTGAAGACCGAAAAGCATCTTGTCCCCTCACTTTGATATGACTCAGAATACTGAATTTTTAATTTCATAAACTATTAAAGGACCTTTACGGTATTAAAGGGGTGCAGTAAGTGATTCTGGTACGTGCAGTCCTGGATGGATCGGGTACCCATGGGCTGAATCCTGGCTTACTAACTTTTCAGTTGTGTGCTCTTGGGCAAGATCACTTCCACTCTGGGAGCTGGGTGGAGGGTCAAGGTAAGCTCCATAGCATTGGCACGAGGCAAGCCATGAAGGGTAAAAAGCATTGTGCCTTATACTTAGGAGCATCTTACTTAATACGACACGAATATTAACAGAGCTGATGAATCAGTTGGCATTAAGAAATAAACCCTAAGCACTACATGTGTGACAACAATCCTTTTTCAACAACCAGTTTACTCTTAGTTTCTGACTTCAGGCTTGGCTGTAGTATCTACATATGGACCACAGGAGCCAAAATTTAATATTGTACTGTCTTCCTATGATAAATATATTTTATTAACTTGTCTCAGTGTGCAAGAATATGTTTTGTACAAAACATACAGAGCATCCTTGCTATGGAACCCGGCAAAGTTATGACTAACCAACATTTCCCAAGAGGACAGGGAACAGGTGCACCGATTCTGGGGACCAGAGTGACCCTGTTCTCAATATGTTATGAAGCCAAATTCTTCAACTTTGACGATGATACACAAACTGTCAAAAACAATTAAGGCACAATATGACTCAAAGTTTATACTTAGAGCAGCAATAATCTAGAGAAAATATAATTAACACATGGAATTGTATCACATTTTAATTAACACTGTTAAGACAGAATTATTATGGCATAAGAGATATTGTTTTATGAAACAGGAAGGTGTGATGTATAGGAAGGTGGCTCAGATTAAAAAATCAAATGTGTCAAAAAAACAACAACTCTTTGGTATTAGATTCTAGGTTTCTTTTATGGTTCCAAAACTGGATCTACATCCTATCACATATTAACGAACGTAGCAAGAAGACCTTTAGTATGTCTGATTATACCAGCAATTTGGTGACATATTGGTAAAGCTGTTCTGTAAATGCTTCTGAGGAAAACTTTTCCTTCACCCTGGCTCTGCCAGCCAGCCCCATGGTGACCTTTAAGGAAGGTTCCTGGATGAACTTCTCCATGGCTTCTGAGAAGTGCACGGGGTCAGGCTCACACAGAAACCCCGTGACGCTGTGGACAATGGACTCCAAGGGCCCACCGGAATGAACAGCAACGACGGGGCACTGCATGTACATGGCCTCCACGGGGACGATGCCAAAGTGCTCATTGCTCGGGGTGTAAATCACGCAGGTGCAGCCGTGGAGGAGTGAGATTTTCTGTTTGTCCGAGAAAGACCGCAGGAAGGTCACAGACTGGTCGAGGTCAAACTGCTGGGCCATTTTCTTGAGCTCCTGATAGTGTTCCACATTCTCCACGACTCTCTCGTCGTAACCACCCGCCATAATCAGATGGACCTTGTCCCAGTCTTGGGATGTCAGTCTCCCACGCAGCTCTACAAGGGCTTCCAGCGCCAGGGTCAGATTTTTCTTCCTTTCATATCTGTTGATGGAGAGGAACAGGAATTTCTTTCCCTTGGGGACTAGATCGTTAAGCTTTTCAGGGACCGCTGAGTCGAAGCTGGTAACATTCAGAGATGGGTAGAGGACAGCGGGGTCCATGTGAGACAGGGACTTAAACGTTTTCTTAAATATGGCAGCTGTGAACTGACTGTTGACCAAGATGCAGTCAGCCATACCTGTGGTGTATTCTTCTACCCAGTCAATCGGGGCCCTGTACAGACGTTTAAGAAAAGAATCCCTCTTGGTGAGAAGCATATCTGGGAAGTGACAATAAAACAAGATCTTCTTACGCCGTCTGGCCAGCTTGAACACTGGGATACAGGCAGACACCTAGTTAAAGCACAGATCAAAAACAGGTAAAGTAACCGGTCAAATAAACTTCAAGAAGATCAAAAGAACAGACACGTTGCTGCCCACTACCTGTGTTTCCCCGAAAATAAGACATCTTCCGAAAATAAGACCTAGCGCAAGCAACTTTGGGAGAAAAAATTAATATAAGACACTGTCTTATTTTCGGGGAAACAGGGTAGTCTGTGGGCTCCTTGTGGGCAATGTCTCATTCTGCTTTGTGTTCCTACAGACTCTCACCCAGTCCAACGCCTGCTGTATTAAAGGCTGGTAGACATTTTCTGGATGTGTGCTAAATATGTAAAGCTGCAAGTTGAGTGTTTTCTCTACAATAAGCAATCCCATGAAGACGAAAATGTAATAACCACATGAAAAATTTTTAATGGGTTAAATAAATTTTAGTATATTTTATCTAAAATATCACCATTGAAAATGTAATCAATACTATAAAAATTAATGGGATACTTTACACTTTTTTTCCACATTAAATCTTTAAAGTCACGTGTGTATTTTACCCTGACAGCACATCCCAGTTCAGACTAGCCACTTTCAGGTGCTCAATAGCCACCTGTGGCCAGTGGCTACCATACTGGACAGCAGCTCTAGCATATTTCGCCTTCTAAGAAACTGAATGAACTATAGTAGTTCAAGTGCAGTCTCTGGAATCAAGATGGCCAGGGCTTGAATCTCACTTCCACTAGCTAGAGTGTGACCATGATCAAGTAATCTACTTCTCTCTGGGCCTCAGTTTCCTCTTCTGTAGCATGTGGCAATTATAGTTACCAAAGAGCCCCCCATTTTTTAAATAATTATTAAATGCAATGGGATATGTAAAAAGCTTAGGAATTTGGCTTGTAATATGTGCTCAATAAATATTAACCATAATCATTACTGAACACGAACTACAGGCTGGCACTATTAGACTTTCCTGTTGGATAATCTTGCAAATCACGTAATCTCCAGCTCACTTAACACCTGAAGGTGAGCTTTCCAAAGCTACTTAGTTAGAAAGTAGCAGATGAATGGAACTTGAATCCGGGTCTCTTACTTCCAAGCTCAGTTTTTCCTCTGTCTGCTGCAGTCTCAGCTGCCTCGTGCTTATTAACTAGTTAGACATGCAGGGTGTTTGGGAAAAGTCCACATTTCTCAAAAAGAGAAATATCTCTCACACAAGTAAGGATGATCAAAAGTGACTCAAGAGTTATAAAGAAACACAAACACTAATGTGATGCTATTTCCCCTATCAGTGTGGCAAAGATTAAAATCGTTGATAACATCCAACATGCTCCAGACATGAAGCAAAATGCTCTGTCCTTCACGTGGGAGAGTGAAGTGACACAGTCTCTTTGGAAGGCAAATTTGACAATAGCTATTGACATTTAAAATGAATAACTCTTAGACCTACTCGTTTTATTTTTGGGAAGTTACTTAAAGGACATACTTGCAGAAGTACAAAAAGAAGGTACAAGGATGTTCATTACGAAACTGATCTACTCACAAAAAACCCCACAATGTTAGTGTCCTTTAACAGAAGAATATATAAATTTCTTGTACATTTAAAACAAAAAGATTTTCTAGCCACTATGAAGAATTAAGTGCATCTCTAATACTGACATATAAGGATGTTCCAAATAGAATTTTTTTGGCGAGAAAATCAAGTTGTTCAATAGTAGGTATGTTTATAATCCTAATTATTACAAACTAGAGGCCTGCTGCACAGAATTCATGCAAGAGTAGGTCTTCCTTCCCCTGCTGCCGGCACCAGCTTCCCAAGCAGCCAGGCTTTGCCTGGAAGGTCTTTCGGCCTAATTAGCATATTACGCTTTTATTATTATAGATAAGATTTATCTGTGAACAGACACACCTATGGTGGTGTAGCCATAGACTATTTCTGTAAGGACATAGCAGAAACTGTTGAACAGTGGCTATTTTTAGGGCGAGGAACTGGAATGGAACTTTATATTATACTCTTATACTACTTGATCTTTTAGTCATAAATTGTTAGTTTTTAAAATAAGTATTTGGGGGGGAGGGGTAAAAGACAAGGAGTTTAGAATAGACTCCAGATCCACGTGGGCATTCTTTACCAAGTGAAAGAATTTGTACTTTTTTTTTTTTTTTACAAAGACTAACGGAGAGCCACGTTCAAGTTCTAATGGGGACGTGACATGTGTGGCTTGGTGCTTTAGAATGACCCGGCCCCAAAGGCTACAGACAGTGTGATGCGCATAGCCTAGGAAAAGTGTCAACAGAAATGATGCAAAGAGGGCGAGACACACAAGTTCCTCAAACGTAAAACGTGACTGAAGGCTGACTTCTAACGCTTGTGTTTCTTAGAGCGAGCCCCCAGGCCCCTCTGCTTCAATCACCGCTGTGCCCGTGAGAAATGCAGATGTCGGGCTCCTGGATGAAACTTCTCAGGGCGGGGCCCTGTAATGTGTAACGTTAAGTGTGTCCACACTCAAGTTCGAGAACTACAGCCTCTCCCAGCTCTGATCTCTCCAGATCTCTCTCCCTTTGCTCCAGGATCCCAGTGTTTCCGAACCGCAGACCCGGAGGAGAGGTCCTGAGGGGCGCCAAGGGGCGTGGCGAGGGCCCGGCGGCGGGGTCACCTCACCTGGTCGCACACGACCACGTCGAACTCCTCGTCGCCGAGGAACAGCACGTAGAGCGCCAGGAAGACCATGCGCACGTAGGCGCAGAGCGCGGCGCCGCGGCCGCCCCAGCCCAGGCTGCGCGGCAGCCAGTCCCCCGCGCAGCGCACCGGCAGCTCGCGGCTCTCGGCGAAGCAGTGGCCCGGGTCGTAGTGCGCGGTCCAGATCGTCACGCTGCACCCGCGCGCCTGCAGGGCCAGCGCCGCGTCCAGCACCAGGCGCTCGGCGCCGCCCACGCCCAGGTCTGGGTGCAGAAACAGCACGGACGGGCCGGGAGCCGACTCATCCCGGTCCCGCTTCTCGGCCATAGCCGGGGTGCCCCCGCACCCTAAGGCACCGGCGCGCCTGCTCCTTCCTAGGAAACCCGGGGACCACAGCGGGGCTGGCCCCGCCCCCCGGCGCGTACGTAGGTTAGGCCACATCAGCGCAAGTCTGTGTGGGTGGCTAGTAACCGCCGGTGAAAATGTCTCTTCTGGCCATGGCTGTATCCGCCCATGGGTACCGAATTGGACTCTAGAAAGGATGCTGTGATCTCAAGGAAGAAGACGGAAGATCTGTACATCCCACCGGCAGCGGACCACGTCGCCGGTAGCAAAATTTGTACAGGCAGATAAAAGGACAGCCCTGGCGTCCTTGGAGTCCGAGGCCCTGCCAGCAGGTCTGGGGGCGGAACTGAGCCAGTTTCTCCAGCCGCTGGTTGTGTGAGGGTTCTGCCGCTTCCCAGCCGTCTGCTCCGGTCCCCTGCCATCTCCAGTTTCCAGAATGGTATGGTGATCACAGGCTGGGATGATCCCTCCTTAGTCTCTACCTCGCCCAGGCGCTCCAACTTGGACCTTGCGCCTTGCCCTGCCTTCCGCGGCTCCCCTGCTTTGCCCACTCTCCAGTGCGGGTGCGGGTCGTGGCTGTCAGGGCCTAGGACTTGGGGGCCTGCGGGCGGCGCTCACCCGTCTGTCATTCTTGTCTTCCCTCCGCAGCCTGGCCCGACCCCCAGTGGCACCAACGTGGGCTCCTCAGGACGCTCCCCCAGCAAAGCGGTGGCCGCCCGGGCGGCGGGGAGCACGGTCCGGCAGAGGTAAGGACCCCGGTGACCCCCTTGGTTGTGGGGCTGGGAGAAGGGAGACCCAAGAATCCGCCGGTCCCGAGAAGATCACCCAGAATGTTAAGATTCACGAAGGCAAAGGGAGCCTCAGGTGACGTGGCCGTGGGAGTCATGGCCTTTAGGTCTTTTGTGTCTAGAGAGGGAGGTGACGTTTTATTCTCATGGCACAGTTAAATAGGGGCAGAGGCAACTTTGAAAAAATGGTATCATTGAACTGGCGTCGCTGGACCTGAGCTTTGCACTCACACTTCTATCGATTTAACAAGATTTGTCCAACTCATTGTCCTCGATCACCCCAGTCCCCACCCCAGGTGCATTGCTTAACTTACTGGTGCATATGGCACTGCTCTGTACGCTGTCACCCAGAGCCAGAACTTCAGCGTCATCTTGGATTTTTTCCTATGCTGTCTCCATCCAGTCATTTGTCAGACTTTAAATTATACACAAAAATCTGCTGCTCATCACTTCTTTGTGTCTTTCTACTGCCCCGATTTAGCCGTCAACTTCTCATCTAGACTTTTGCATTTTATTTTACTTTTTGTATTTTTTTTTTTTAATTGATTTCAGAGAGGAAGGAAGAGGGAGAGAAAGATAGAAACATCAGTGATGAGAGAGAATAATCAGTCGGCGTGCGAGCTGCAACCTGGGCATGTGCCCTTGATCAGAATGGAACCTGGGACCCTTCAGTCCACAGGCCGATGCTCTATCCACTGAGCCAAACCAGCGAGGGCATAGACTTTGCATTTTCTACTCTTCTACTCTCCAGGCCATTCCACTCCAATCCCTCCTGTGCTCTGGTTCTGTCACTCTTCAGCTTAGTTTTTCTGTTAATTTTTTTTGCTGAACTTTAAAAAAAGGGTGAGAGGGGCAGATAATAAGGTTCTTCGTGACCCCCCCCCCCCCCCCTTCTCCCTCGCTCCTGGGGTCCAACAATAGTGAATTTATTATTATTTTCTGAATCTCCCTTCCTGTCCCCACACACAATTTCTATTTATTCTCCTAAGACTAAGTTCAGAGGTGTGTGGAGGTCTTCTCTGACTCCAAAAGTAGCAGTAGCTATTACTCCTCCCTTTTGCTCCTAAAGCATTTCGTTCATATAGTGGTAATAACATTTGTTTCTGTATTAAACTTTGAAAGAAACTGCCCAAGTCAGTCTATTCTATGTGAGGCGTTGCACAATAAATGATGAATGAAGGAAGGAATCAAACAACCCTGTTATCTTCAGATACTTGAAGGAACTAGTGAGTTTTATCTAGAGAGGGTAAAATCTTGAAGGGATACAAGAAAATGATTCATAAGGATGTGAAGAATGATGAGATTTTTCTTGTTGGGTACTGTAGGTAAATGTAAAACTAATAATGTGAATTTAGCAGAGACAGATTTTAGTTCATTGAAAGTTCTGATGTAACTGATGTTTCTCTTGAAATTATCATGTTTTCTTTGGATTACAAAAATCCCTATTATTAACCTGTTAATCTGCACTGTTAACCGATTAATAATTAATCTGAATTTTAACCAGTTAATGGTTAATCTCCATTATTAACCAGTTAGTAGTTAATCCACATTATTAACCGGTTAATAATCCGAATTTTTAACTGGTTAATAATTCGCATAACCAAAAAGCAGATTTTGTAATCAATGAAAATATAATTTCAAGAGAAATATCAACAGTGCTTTATTCAAAGTAATATTCACCGCTAGCTATACATTTGCCCCATCTTTCAAGTAATTTATGGTTACTGTCCCAATTGAACTTTTGTTTTGAGGCAAATTATTTAGAGACCCAACTTTCTACTTCTTTGTTCGTTTTGAAGTGCTGCTCAGAAAGCGTGGATGCCATCGATCGGAACAAGTGGTAATCTGAAGGAGCAATACAATAAAAAATAGCATACATATCAAATCACATATATATCAACATAGTATAACTCCACCTATTGAAAAAAATCTGCGTTATTAACCGGGATGCCTAGTAAAGAGATGGTAGGGATAAGGTTTTCATTTATGTTTTCTCCCTATGGGGGAGATCGTAAACAAGCTTTCCTGAATTTAAAAAAATTTATAATCAGTAGTCCACAGATAACTAAATGGGGTTTTAAGAGGGTGTGCTGGGATTTGGTTAATGATAAGGGGCAGTAATGGGGCAGGGCTTCCCCTCTCTTCCTTTCCTTATGTAGGATTTCTTATGAGTGGGCTGAAGAAGATCTCTTCTGACTTCTCATGCTTACTGCTTACTGCACTGTAGCACTCCAGCACGGGCGAGAGAGAAGTGGGGTGGAGAGAGAAGTGGGGTGGAGCGGTGCTGGGTGGGAGAGTGGTTGTTGGGCGGGCTTCCCCAGTGACTAGGAGAGGAGGGAAAGAGTCCTCTCCCCCTCCCCCCCATTTGTGGCAGTGCTTGTGGAGCTGTTCAGCTCCTTCTGTATGCGAGGCCTCGGTCACACAGCTCATCTCACCTTGGTCTGCTCGTGAAGGACAAGTTCTAGTTGGTGTTTCCTGCATTTTTTTCATAACCTACATCTCTGTCCAAGATTTATGGCATATCAAAATAGTGAAAAAAGACTACAAAATGATTTTTTGGTAAAATATATGTTCCATTTTGGGACCTGGCTTACACTGAGTGGCCAGATTATTATGATCTTTGAACGCATAATCTGGCCACTCAGTGTGTGTGTGTGTGTGTGTGTGTGTGTGTGTGTGTGTGTGTGTATCAGCAGCCCAGTACATGAATTGGGTTGGGTCCAGCCAGCCTGGCCAGGGTTTGGGGGACATGGATGGTTGGCTGGCCTGCCTGCTGGTTGAGAGGACAATTTGCATATTAGCTTTTTATTATATAGTATATGCACTGAGTGGCCAGATTATTATGCATTCAGAGATCATCATAATCTGGCCACTCAATGTATAATTAAAGCTTAATATTTTTGTTTCTTTTGTAGCAAATGCAGTAATTTTAAAACATTTTAAAGTAATTTAAGTCAGATTACAGTTGACCCTTGAACAACATGGATGTTAGGGACACTCTCCTTTCCCTGCAGTCAAAAATCCACGTATAATTTCGACTCCCCCAAATATTTTACTACTAATAATAGCTTACTGTTGGCCGGAAGCTTTATCCTTATCGATAACATAAACAGTTGATTAACACTTACTTTGTATGTTAAGTTATATACTGAATTCTTACAATAAAGCAAGCTAGAAAAAAAATATTTTTAAAAACCATAAAAAAGAGAAAATACATTTATGGTATGGGGGGGGGGGCCTCATGTAAGTGGACCCACACAGTACAGTTTAACCATGTTGTTCAAAGGTTGATTGTATGTAGATTCCAGACATTTTAGAGCAGAGGTTTATTACTTGGCTTCACAAAAATGCATGTGAAGAGAAACAAGTACATTGTCCAAATGAGGTGCCATATGTTTAGGCAAGAGGATGGGCTCGAGTCAGAACTGGGTCCTCAGCCCAGCCACCTGCTGGCCGTGTAGTCTTAGGTAGGCACTTGGCTTAACCGTTTCTGAGCCTCATTTTCCTCTTATATAACAGAAATGGTAACTGCTTTCCAGAGTTAGTGTGTGCATTAGCACGTGGCAGGCACTCAGTTCATGGTAGTTATCATGACCCAGGGGCGAAACAAGAATTAGGGGTGTACTCACCAAAGAAAACGGTTTTGTTTTTTTCTTCTTATTTTCGTTCTTTAACAATGTAATGGTAGCATATGTTATAACACCATTAAAAGGGTTCCCCCCCAAAAAAGACTAACATTTTTTCTCTTAACAGGAAAAATGCCAGTTGTGGAACAAGGAGCGCGGGCCGCACGACCTCAGCAGGCACTGGGGGGATGTGGCGGTTCTACACGGAGGATTCCCCTGGCCTCAAAGTGTAAGTCTTGGCAGCAGACCTTGTGTGTCAGTCAGGTATCACAGAGCTGATTGGCAGCACTGTCTCTCTGCCACCAGTGGTGCTGGCTTGGATGAAATCTACAGTACACACAGCTCCGGTTGGGTTTGGTTTGTCCATATATAAACCAATTAGTTTAGGGCTTGGAATGATATTTTTTTGTAGATTGAGTGAAAGCAAGGAGAAAGCTTCATGTAGCTATGCCAAAATAAACAATGGGAACACAGAGAACTGGAGGAAAATTAGATGAAATTGTTCTTTTTTGGTTGTCTGACACCGAGAAAGAGGAGTAATCATTTAAAGATGAGTTGGGTGGTTTTTCAAAGCTTTTCTAGAACCATAAGCTGATATTATTACAGCTATTAGACATTTCTGCAGTAGGCTGTGTTAACTAAGGTTCTTTGGCCTTCTTGTCATTTATGGGTGGTGAGTAGACCTTGGGGTGAACATATCACTTTCCAAGTTCTTAAGGTCTGAGAGTGCTCATTAGTGATAGGAAATGGGCATCTGGGGGACCCCTGTTCCCATGCCTTACTCACCTCACTTTCCAGGGGTCTGATACTGCGTGGCAGACCTAATCCCCCAGGTTTCTGATCAGGGGGGCTCTAGGACACCACTGTTTGCAGTTGCTTCCTGACTGAACCAGTGGTTGAGGAATAGGAACACTGCAGGTTCAGAAGCTCAGGCTCAGAGAGGCAAAGTTATGTTCTAGCAAGAGCCGGAACCAGGCAATCCGACTCTTCAATCCTGTGCTCCATATGTCTATCTGGTAGAAAAGAGACAAAATTAAATTTATTTGGATTAGTTTAACTTGACCAGTAGCTTGGCTTGGATCACAAATTTAAAGACTTGTATGGTAAGATGAGAATGTATTCAGGAAGTACTTCTTAGGGGGTCATATATGTGTTGTTTGTATTCAGACAACCTTGTGGTCTTTGTTAAAGGTAATTTTTCTGAGTATTTCAGAGAGAAATTTTGAAGCCCCTTGCTCTGTAGGGTATCCAGAGGACTCCTTTGAAACCCTTCTTAAGAAGGTGGTAAAAACTGTTCTCCTGTGGATGAGACTGGCTCTTGCTGGCTCTGGGCTTTCTGCTGTGGGGCAGCAGGCTTGCTTGATGCTATTGCTTGAGTACTCCCAGGAATTGCTAGAAACTGTTCCTGAAGTGTCTCATCCCACCAGAAAGATGGTAAAAGGACACAATTGGGAATTCGTATTTACAAATCCACATCCTGGAGCAGTCAAGTAACATCTTAGAGTTTGTTGTTGGCTCTTGTAGAATTTTAGAATTAAAAAAAAAATAATAGTAGCAATTCCGGTGAGCTTATTAAAAACTTGTGTAATCCATGTATATTAATTTATTTAATACCTCAGTAACAGTATGAGAGAGCTACTGTAATTATCCATACTTTACTGATGAGGAAACTGAGGCCTGGAGAAGATTGGTAATGGGGCACGGTCACAACTCATCAAGGACAGAATGGGTTTGCAAACTCTGGCACTTGGACTCAGAGAGCTCCACTCTCAGCTTTGTGTCTTCTGGCTGATGATATGCTAACATTGCTTTAAAATAGGGGCTTTGACTGCGTGCAGCATGATAACGTTCTCTCCCCAAGTGTTTTTACATTTGTGTATTCCTATAATTGTACAAATTTTGGAAGAAAAAATAGTGTAGCAAGGACATTGATATCTGTGCATTGCTTAAAAAATTTGTAGAAGTTTTTATTTTTATTATGGAAAATATCAAATACATGAAATTAGAGAGACTAGTATCTCTAAGACATCCAAACATTTTACTTGTATCATTTTAGTATGCTTTACTAGAAGAGAAGAATTCCTCCTATCTAAATAGCTACAATGACTCCACACCTCTACCCCTCTCCCTTCCACTCTCTAGAAATCAATGGAAAAAATATTCTCACTCCTTGGGTGAGGATTAAAAAAATTAAAAAGAAAATGAAATATGGTGATGTATTATTACTAAAAGTAAGTAAGCATGCCTTTTCTTTTTTCTTTTCAGTGGCCCTGTTCCAGTATTGGTTATGAGTCTTCTGTTCATCGCTTCTGTATTTATGTTGCACATTTGGGGCAAGTACACTCGTTCATAGATTTGGCTACATCCATCTGTCATCTGAAGAAGGAGAAAAAAAATCATCAATATATCTTGGACCAAAAGCATAGTGATTTTCTGTTCATGAGAAAGAAATTTTCTGTAAGCTTACTGTTTTACAGGGAACTTAATGAGAATTGATTTTAAGGATCATTTTTTTTCTATGGCTAATAAACTTTGTAATTCATTTATACCAAGTCTGATTCTTTAATCTCTGCCTTTCAATTACAAGTAAATATGTAGAAAGCACGTCTTTTGGAGCTTGCTTTCTTTGTGGGATTGACGGGTTCTTACATGATCATGTAGTTCAAACCCAAGGTACTGTAATTGGCCTTGGCTTGTTTTCTTCTAGGTATTTTTGTCCTGGTGATTGTCATTTTGGGCATTCCGTGGTTTTTAAGGAGTGTGCCTATGACTGCATCAGGCAGATTTGTATTCAAAGGCAGCTGGTACCCAAGGGAATAGCCATAGAAATCAGAAATGTTGCATAGGTTTTAGAGACAAAGAATTAAGAACTCTCTCCCTGTTTTATGTTCTGTGAGTATAGATCAGGAGTTTCCTTCTATTTATCCCTTGTGGCTAAACCTATTTTGAAGAATTCATTTGATAAGTTGGATTTTTCAAATAAAATTTTGTTTTCATTGTGAAAATTGAAGACTTCTCTTAATCAGAGTGAGGTATCAGCATTTCCAAACTGAGTTGATATAATTCCATACAAAAAATTGAAGTTTCACTTAGCTTATGTTGCCATTCTGGGAATAAACATTCAGTTTCTGGTAGACCTAAGGAAATACCAAGAATAGCTTACAGCTGCATACTTCAGGAGTCTAGGATATAAGCCAGATTTTCTAAGGAGTAAGATATCCTGTGAAATCCTCTTAGTTGTCCAGCAGAATCACAACATGATAAAGAGGTGTATTAGTTAAAAACCGATAATTTTAACAATGATTTTCTCACAAATGAAGCTTTAAAAAAAACCTCCTAGAACAGTTAAGCTGTTTTATAAGTGTTTTTCTTAAGTCCTAGCTATATAGTAAATTAATATAAGACATTGTCTTTTTTTTTTAAATATATTTTATTGATTTTGTACAGAGAGGAAGGGAGAGAGATAGAGAATTAGAAACATCGATGAGAGAGAGTCATCGATCAGCTGCCTCCTGCACACCCCCTACTGGGTATATGCTCACAACCAAGGTACATGCCCTTGACTGGAATCGAACCTGGGACCTTTCAGTCCCCAAGCCGACGCTCTATCCATTGAGCCAAACCGGTTTCAGCAAGACACTGTCTTATTTTCGGGGAAACAGGGTAGTATCTATAATGGATTTTTTTTTTTTCAGGTAACAGCTAAAAGTTATGATCTTAATTTGGAAAACAAACCTGTTCCTCTATCCAGAGGGGTCTGTTTTTCTCTGGGGGAGCTGCTGGAGGCAGCCACTTGGGGGAGCTGTTGTGTTGTCTGGGGTGCATTCTCTTCACTGCATAGGGCTGCCTCTTAGCCTGTCTGCCTAGCTGTGGTCTCTAGTGGACCGATAGTGGAAAGTTACTGAATTCTGAGCTAATAATTTATAAGAAATGCCATGTGTAGTGGCAGAGCAAGGAGATGCTTCATTCAGCAGAAGGAAAATTGGGGGTTGGATACAGAGATGTACAACATCTATTATGTAGCTATCTTTGGCTCTGACATTACAATGCTAATGCAATCTTAGTGTTCAAGATGTGCCTTTTTTTCCAAATTTTAAAAATTGTGGTAAAATATATGTGACATAAATTATATCATCTTTAAGTGCATTCATATTTTTGCACAACCATCACCACTATCCATCTCCAGGACTCTTTTTCATCTTATAAGACAGAAACTTAAACGCACCAAATAATAACCTGCCCCTTTCCCCTCAGCCCCTGGCACCATTCTACTTTGTGTCTTTATAAATTTGACTTTTTAAGTACTTAATGTAAATGGAATCATGCCGTATTTTATCCTTTTGTGACTGATTTATTCCACTTAGCATAATGTCCTCAAGGTTCATGTCATAGCCAGTCAGAATTTACTTACTTTTTAAGCTGAATAATATCCCATTGTATGTATACACCACATTTTGTGTTGCTTTCTTTTTAAATAGGGATTCCTAGACTGTTGTTTCTTGAGCCATTTATAGTAATTCTGAAAGCCTAACAAATTTACGAGGATTAAGGCTATCTTGGCCCACAGAATCCTCAAGCTCCTTCGACTATGGGCTATAGTTCTAGCCACCACTGAGTGATGGACACAGCCAGCACGTGCTGGCAGCAGCTCTATTCTAAGTGTTTAAAACGAGGGAAATGAATTATTATAATGCAGCTCCGGCAGAGCCTTTTAAGTCATTGAGGAACAACCAGCATAGGGAAAAGTTGAGTCTCTGAGACTGCCCAGAGGATGGAAAGATGAGGACCTCTGGACACAATAGTGCCCTGAATACATTTTGATAATGAAACAGGAATTTTTTGGGGTGAAAAAGACAGGTTTTAGGAAATTTTAGAAATTTTAGAAATGAAGGGGACAATGGAGGAAGCACAGGACTGCAGAGCAGCAGAAGGTATATTTTCATAGAACGAGGGAGCTGAAAAGCTGCAACAGGTACATTTCCATTGACTGCCATAAGCAATCCTATATAATAAAAAGCTAATATGCAAATGGCCATCACGACCTTGCATCCTCATACCTTTGTGCCCTCACACCCTCGCGCCAGGGCCAGGGGATCTGAGGCCAAGCACCCTTCCCTGTGGGGTTTGATAGGTCTGGGTCTTGCATGATTTTGAGGCGCACGCGGGTGAGCAGGGACTTGACTCTGGGTACGGTGGCGCACCCCAGACTCTGACAGGAGGGAGATTTTCATACACATTTTACTAATTTTCTTTAATCTCACACTTCTATTATAGAGAAAGGGCAAATAGCAGTATTAAAATATTTCCTCTAATTCCTTTCTATTAGAATTCCTTTCTATTCCCATGAATTTTGTGCGCTGGGCCCCTAGTATAGAGAATAAATCCTGTGGTTGTGTGTCCCCATTGTCTCACCTGTTCTACTCAGTAATGTGATTTCTGGAAAGAAAGCAAACTCATTCTCCCAGCACCCTATCTAGTTTGATTTGGATTGTAGAAATTTAATCATTGGTTCTCAGATGTTGGCTTGCATCCTGAAGGTCTCCACCTCTGCTACCTATCACATTTGGCCAGCACCAGACTGGGAGTCCCAGCTCTCAAAAGCAGCAGTCACACGTGGGGCTGAGGTGGCTGGGCCTGTCGTTTATTCCAGGCCCATCACCTGTACAGGTGTGCTCATTTTGTCCCTTGCTCTTTCAAGTTTCCTTCATGGTGCTGCTGGTTTTGCAGCCTCTGCGCTGCACCTGGGGAATTTCACCTGCCTTCAGTAATTTTTGCATATTCATAACCCGATGCTATGCTAGGTCAGCTAGCCGTGGGGCTGGAAGGCGCTGAGAGACTGCAGAGTCCTAATTCTCCCTTCAGTTCTCTCCCTTTGACTCAGCAGTGCCTCTTTTTATAAAAGACGTGCTGCTCGAACGAACAGAATGAGGTCTTGTCAGACTTCCTTTTATAGCAGGCTTTGCCCTGAGACCTTCAGTGGGCTCCAGGAGGCAGTGAGAAGTGAAAGGCACAAATATGTAATGATTGTGCCGGGCAAGAATTCCCTTACTTGGTGGGCTGGTGTGGCCCCCTCACATCCATCCCAATAGTGTCAAAAGTGGGGAACCATGGCTCTCTACTCCTGTGCCCGGCAGATGCCTCAGTGCAACAGAAGACTTGCTGAACCTACCAGACTGGGGGTACACCTCTGAGACCCCAGGGACCGTGTCAGGGAGCCATGGGCATTTGTACATCTTTGGCATGCTTGTTGGTGGGCCTGCAATAAACCCAAATTTAAGCAAACTTAGGGAAAGGCGTGGTGTTTTTACACAGCTCACTGCTCTTCCTCGTTCTTTTTCCGCTTCCCTGTCTCCTCCTTCTCCTTTTTTTCTAGCTGCTCTTCCTCCAGACCCTCCTCTCCTTCCATCCTCCCACTACTCTCTTCTGTTCTGTACAACTCAAATATTCCTGGGCTATTGTGTGTGCAAACAGAATGTACAAAGAAACACAACTGTCCAATGAAAGTTTTTTTGAAAGTAATTCTGATTTTTACATGTTTTCCAAGTTGTGGGTTGAATTGTGTCCCCCAAAATTTATATGTTTAAGTCCTAACCCCTAATACCTCAGATGGGACCTTATTTGGAGATAGGGTCTTTACAGTACAGGGGTCATCAAGTTAAATTGAGGTCCTTAATTTAGTCATAGCATGGTCCTGTTATGACTTATGCCTTTATGAGCAGGGGAAATTTGGACACAAAACATCATATAAACTTGAAGATATTCATCTACGGACCAAGTAGGGAGGCCTGGCACAGTTCTTTCCCCCACATCTCTCAGAAGGAACCAAACCTGCCAGCACCTTTCACTTTGAATGTCTGGCCTCCAAAACTGGGAGACCACGCATTTCTATTGTGGAAGCCGCCCCACTTGTGGTACTTTGTCCCGACAGCCCTAGCAAGACAACATGCAAATATATCAGAGGGGAAGCCAATCCACAACCCTTAGCAATGCTTTTAGAAACCCTTTCCGTCTTCCTTGCTCATGTTTGTGACGCTCTGAAACTTATTTTTATTTTTATTTTTTTCAAGCTAATAAGCAAGTTTAGTAAGGTTGCAGGCGATATACAAAAATTAACTATTTTTATACAGTAACAATGGGAAATCTGAAAATAAAATTTATACAATAATTCTATTATAATAGCATCAAAAGACTAACATATTTTATTTATTTATTTATTTATTTTTTCATTTAAAAAAAATGTATTTTATTGATTTTTTTGTGTGCCCCCCTCCTTCCCTCCCATACATACCCTCCCTCCCCAGAGTTTTATGTCCATTGGTTGTACTTATATGCATGTATACAAGTCCTTCGGTTGATTTATTATCTCCCCCAGATCTCCCTCCCCTCCCCACTGTAAATTGACAATCTGCTTGTTGCTTTACTGTCTCTATATCTATCTTTTGGTTCATCAGTTTATAATGTTCTTTATTATCTATAAATGAGTGAGGTCATGTGGTGTTTCTCTTTCACTGATTGGCTTATTTCACTCAGCATGATGCTCTCCAAT